AACTCCACCGCACACCCCCAGCACAGTCCTGTTCCTCCGTGGGAGCCCGACCTGCCCCAGATGGGCTCGTGGGTCGCTGGACGTTGGGGTCACTTGCCCCGTGGCCCTTGGCTCTGTCTTTTTGACATGGTTTTGCCCGTCGTGGTGGCGACTGTGAGTCTGTTGGGGCCAGCGGAGCCTCCTGCAGCCCCTGGAGCTGAGCTGCTCTGGGAATTCCCTCCGTCGGCATCGGTCCACAGGCAGCCGGGGCAGCCGCAGCGTTCCTGGAGGGCTCTGGGGTCCTGGGTTTGTCCTTCCCAAGCTCCCAAGAGGGGGGAGCAGGGAGTGGGGGGGATACAGCAGCAGGGTTTGGGTGCTGCCAGAACAGCCAGGAATGCAGAGGGTGAGCCCGTCCGGGCAGCAGCCGGCGTGGCAGGGACCTGATTCCGTGGGGGTTTCAGGCTCAGCTCAGCCCCTCTGCGGATTTTCCCTGTCTGGGGGACCTGGGGACCCCCAGCAGCCTCTCCCTCGGGCCCTGTGGGGGACCCGCTCCGCAGAGCTCTGCCATGTGCGGCACAGGCTTGGAAAAGGCCTCCGAGAAGGTTAAAACGCTGATTTTTGTATCAAGACGGTGGCCGGTACTAGGCCGAGGAGATTCATGGATAAACGTCGGCGTTGGGAAGAGGTGGAGGCACTTCGGATTAGGCTGGAATGGGGCTGGGCTTGTCTAGACCGGGCTTTTGCCAAGAAAGGTTGGAGCAGACGACCCTCGAGGTCTCTTCCGAGCTGGAATTCTGTGATTCTTGAGCTGTGTCTCGTGAGTCAGTGCCCACGGGTCAGGGAGCTGCAGGGCACGGCAGCGGGGCAGCGAGCTGTGCCAGCACCGCCAAAACTCCAGGCAAACTTCCTCAAAAACCTCGGGAGAGGGAAACGGTGCGGGGGAGCGTCCTTTGGGTCGTGACCAGGCATGAGGCGCAGGCTGGGAGCAGAGAGCGGAGGCGTCCGCGGCGACGGGGCTGTGCCAGGGGCGCACAAACAACCTAGGAAAGGTGCTGAGCGGCGAGGTCGGGGCTTCCACCTGGGTCTTGGGGCTCCGAGCCCTTGAACTTGGTGCTGGTAGATGCAAAACGGGCACACAGCAGCAGGCTGGCGACTGCGGGTGGTGCAGGTGCCAGCGGCATCGCTCGGCACGACCCGCGGTGTTGGGGAGAGGGGAGGGAACCCCTCGGCGATCCCACTAACTGCAGGTTCTGCCTTAACGCTCGGGAAATGCAGCTTTTTCCCCCTCTGGGTCGGGTGCAGGGAAGGGGCGGGATGGTCAGAGGCGGGAAACGCTTTTACTGGGAGAGCTGGAAGGGTTCAGGCTCTGCGCTGGGGGAGAGGCGGCAGTGGGGTTAGGGGCCGGAGCGGACATGGGGAATGTTTATTCCCATGGACCAGGAGACTCAGGGGAATTGGGAAGCACCAGGTGTAGAGCAAGGAAAAGGCAAAAAGTGGAAATTGCTGTTGAGGCTGCAGGGAAAAGGCTGGAGCAAAGAATGAACAAAATGGGGGGGAACAAGTTCCCTGTGCGGGTGAAATGTGGGGTTCGGGGTGTGGGCTGGGAGCTGCAGGCAGGGCACAGGCTGGGGGGGTCTGTCCCAGTTTCCCGGGACATGATGGTGGTTGGAAACTCGGTGTCAGACCTCCTGGGACTCCCCTGTGGGGCATCAGCCTTGGCTCTGCGGGTCGAGAGCATCGTACCCGGCGAGCGGCCGGTGCCGGTGGCACGGCCCGTCCCCCCGATCCCGGCGTCCCCCTCTAACGGCCTCGCTCTCTCCTCCAGCATGAAGGTCGGCGTGGAGGATGCGACGTCTTCCGCAAGCATCACCCTCAGGGTCCGCGCTCACACTACAATAGCAGCGCTCAAGCAGCAGGTACGGAGCCGGCACCGGTGTGACCCCCCCACACCCCGTAGGCCCCTTTTTTAACCACTTGTACCAGCGCTGGGGGAGGTGGGCTCTCCCCCCAGCTCCCCTCCCATCGTGGAGCCAGTTCTTTGCTGGTTCTCCTGTCTACGGGGAAGCTGTGGCTGCTAGCTCACCCTCCCCGCTTCTCCGGCTGCCCAGGTCTTCCAGGATTACGGGTTCCACCCCTTGGTCCAGCGCTGGATCATCGGGCAGTGCCTCTGCGTGGACGAACGGACCGTTTCCTCCTACGGCATCCGCAGGGACGGTGACATGGCGTTTCTCTACCTGCTCTCGGCCAAGATGGCCGAGCTGACCGAGCAGCGCTACGAGGAGGACCAGGCGCAGGTCATGCTCAGCTCCACCTCCTTGCTGAGCAACGACGACGCCGAAAGGCACAAATACAACACCCTGCCCAACATGTCGCCTAAAAAAGGTCTGGCTCTCCTATGCCCTCCCTGCAGCCGCTGGCTGGGATGGCTCCAGCGCAGGGGGCCAGAGCTGGGTGTAGGGATGGGGGACACTGGGGTGCTGGGGGGTCTCTCAGGCCGGTAGAAAAGGCTGAGTGGCTTCTCTGGGATGGAGCTGGTGCCCTCGCTCTTGGAAATCTGCCCCTTGCCAGCACCCTCTGTGCTGCCCAGCGACCTCGGGAAGAGCCTTCGTGGCTTTTCTGTTCGTTCCAGAACGCGGGCGGTGAGGAGAGGGGCAGCGTCCACACCCGGGGGGCTCCTCTCCCCACAGATCTGGGTCCTGCACCGGGAGCCGTCGGGGCTCTGTGGCACTGCGAGTGGGCCCAGCGCCGCTGGCCAGCCGGCTTGTGCCGATGGGCTGGGGCAGGGCGGCCCCCCGGGACCCATCCCTCCTGGGGTCCGTGCCCCCCGAGACCCATCCCTCCTGGGGTCCGTGCCCCCCGGGATCTGTGCTCCCCAGGATCCATCCTTCCTGGGGTCCATCCTCCCCAGGATCCGTGCTCCCCAGGGTCTTTGTTTCTCCGGGTTTGCCCTCCCTGGGATCCATCCTCCCTGCCCAGGGCTGACCTGGGACGAGCAGCCTCTTCCCTGGAGACAAGTGCCCCCCCCAGCCCAGGGTGGCACGCTGGCAGCCAGCCCCAGTGCCGGTTCCTGGGCTGGTTGTAACGTTCCCGCTTTCCCCGATGTCACTCCCCAGGCTGGGGTAACGAGCCCAGCAGGAAGATGGACATCGGCGAGATCAGCCAGCACCTGGACGCGCTACAGATGGGCGACCTCAGCGGCCAGTCGCAGCCCATGGCCACCAGTCTGCCCTCACCAGTGCAGGTACGTGGCCCACAGCGCCTCCCCGCCATCGCCGCCCTGCTCTGCCCCCCCCGGATCCTCCCTTTGTCCAAGTCTGGGTGTTCTGGGGGCTCCCTCCATGTCCTATCCCCCCTCTCCTTTTTTCCCCCCTCTCTCCAAAGCATTTTATTTCCCAGTTCTGCATCTCGCGTGTCCCCACAGGCGGGCTGGTCGTGTCCAAAATGCACCTTCATCAACAAGCCCACGCGGCCGGGCTGCGAGATGTGCAGCGCGGACCGTCCCGACGACT